GCGCATGTGTCGTCTGATCGATGAAGTTGTTTGCTTAATTTGCACGAGTTGTGACTTTTTGCAGCGCATGTGTCGTCTGATCGATGAAGTTGTTTTCTTAATTTACACGTGTTCTTTCTATTTACATGTGTTCTTTCTATTTACACGTGTCTCTCCGTCACCTGGAAATGAAATGTATCATCTAATTTTACATTTTAGAAAAACAAAATACAGATACTGAAGAACAACAGTGGACATTTTGTGTTAAACTGAGTCATACTCACACTGGATCATCTTCTAAACACGTTGCTCTCAAACACGGAGCTCATCACGCTGCACAAGGCCAACTAAGTACTAAACTACATTTCCCAGCAACCCTTTACACAGGAAGTGCGTCCACCCCCAATACTGGTCCGACTGCTGCAAAACCGGGCATCAGCACGAAGAAGCATGTGTGAGCTCACATGAACCAAGAAGCGAGAGGAGACAGAGGTTTGTGCTCATCGACCATCGCTGGACTCACAGGTAAAGTTTTATCGCTTCAGTGTTTAGCACCAACAGCTAATCTTTAGCTTAGCATACGAGCTAACAGGCTGTGTACAGTGTTAGCATGTAGCCAGTAAGAGAAGCAGGGATGAACTTCTGCTAACTGCCTGTAAGAGTAAGAGTGAATTAAAGTATATAAGGAATTAAATATTGTTTTACGTGGTTTAACACTGAAGAAAAAGTAGTTGTGGAGTGGATGTTTTCATGTGCTAGCTAACAGATGCTAATTGTGTGTAGGAGACACTTTAACACTTCCCACAATCCCTCCCCTGGTGCTTATAGTATTTTTGTTTCCTATTAACAATATACACCAACGTAAATTCCTTGTATGTGTAAACCTGCTTGGTAATAAAACCAGATTCCAGCATTCATGTGATTCTCTGTAAATAATCTCATCCAGCAACATGTCGGAGGCTCTGACCCGGAGAATAGAGAAGCTGGAGGCAGAGCTGCAGGAGCTCAGATCCCAGCTGAGGGAGACGAGTGGAGCCGGAGAGGACGTGGAGGTGACATCCAGTGAAATCACCGACCGCAAGCCTCATGGGAACTCCAGCGGCAGGAAGAAGGGGAAGAAAGCCAACAAGGAGCGTCCTTTTGACTTCTCCGCCCACCCTCGGCGCCACGCGGCCCTGCGGCTGGCGTACCTGGGCTGGGCCTACCAGGGCTTTGCGGTGCAGGAGAACACAGACAACACGGTGGAGGCCAGACTCTTCGAGGCTTTGCTGAAGACGCGGCTGATCCAGGACAGACAGAGCTCCAACTATCACCGGTGTGGTCGCACCGATAAAGGAGTCAGCGCCTTTTCCCAAGTGCGTTCACAGAGACAAAGATCGTGCGCCGTTTGATAGTTTTTCTCACGCAGTCGTTAAGTAAACTCATCTCTTTCACACAGGTCGTTACAATTGATTTGAGGTCCACACAGTTTTGTGGAGGACTCGGTGTCACGCTCCCGGAGAATGTTGACGCAAGCACCAAGAGTAAAGCTGCTGTCTCTGAGGTTCCGTATGTGAAGATGCTGAACAGAGTCCTGCCCCAGGACATCAGGATCTTGGACTGGGCCCCCGTCGCAGAGGGTTTCAGTGCTCGCTTCGACTGCCAGTCCCGCACATATCGCTACTACTTCCCCCGAGGATCTTTGGATGTGGCGTTGATGGCAGATGCTGCGAAAAGGTCAGTGAAGACACTAAATCCTAAACACTGATGTCTCCCGTTGAAGACGCAGCTCTGATCTGGAGCTCTCTTTGCACACGACAGGTACGAGGGGACACATGACTTTCGCAACATGTGCAAAATGGATGTGGGCAACGGCGTCTTGCAGTTTGAGAGGACCATCTTGTCAGCGTCCGTCAAGCCAGCGTTGCCTCAGCACACGTCCAGCACAGATCAATATGACATCTTCATCTTCGAGATTAAAGGATTGGCCTTCCTTTACCACCAGGTATCAAAGACAATAACTGCAGTTCAGATAATTTCTCTCTTGAGGAGCTCATTTCTTTTAAAATGTAATATAAATATTTGATTACCTTTGCTGTGTTACACCACAGGTACGATGCATGATGGCCGTGCTTCTCCTGATAGGACAGAAACTAGAAGCCCCAGAGTTAATTAATCAGCTCCTGGATGTTCAGAGGAATCCCAGAAAGCCCCAGTACAGGTGAGTTAATGAGTAATGAAGAAGTTGTGTATGTCGAATGTCTTCTATGCTCTGTCTCACACACAAATACACAAAGAATGATTTCATTTAATGTTTGAAATTCCATATTCATGTCAAGAACCACCCAAAATGACAGAAACCATACTGCAGTCCACCACTAGGGGTTGATGAAGATGTTTTGGCTTCACTTCTGGAGCCAAAACATCTTCATCAACCCCTAGTGGCAGACTGCAGTATGGTCGTCTGTCTGTGGTTGAGCTACATCAGTCTGAGTCTTGAACATTCTCCTTCTTGACGTTAGCATGGCGGTGGACTTCCCTCTGGTGCTGTACGACTGCCACTTTGAAGGTTTGAGCTGGAAGCAGGAGGCTGAGGAGGTGAACTACGTCCTGTCGGTGCTGCAGCAGCACTGGACCCAGAGTGAAGTCAAGAGCCACGTCCTCCATGGGATGATCAAGGGTTTGGAGGCCTCAGGTGAGAGTTTATTAAGAAGCAACAGCCTCTGTGAGCTTCAACATATAGAGAGTTATCAAAACCATTCTGTGTAAAACTCATTCATCAAGTGCAACACGTATTTTAACACCAGTTTAAAGAAGTGTTTGTTTTTCTGTTTA